TTATTAGTTCTCGTGCAATAAGCGTTTTTGTGAAGCTCTAAAAATTACAACTACAACATTTGAACATAGCCCCCATACCTTAAGGTAAGACGTATTCTACGTCAAAAGAAACAGCGGTCGTCCCTCGGCAGGCAATGGCAAACCTCCGAGTGCATTTCTGGCATGAAAAACAGCTTCCCATAAAAATACAATCGCCGTTTGGGGTCGGCGTAAAACTGTAGGTCCCCGCTTTGTGTGACAACATCAAGGCGCACGCCACAAATCGGAGGAGAAGCTCGGCCAAACACTAGCCTATGTGTAAGCGCCAATCTATTATTATTATTATTGTTTATCTGAATCCACAATTAATTTTTGCCATTCATTTTTCCCAAAAACGGTCGCTGGGTGCAAAAAAAAACATGAATGAACATTGTTGTGAAACAATATTTGCATTATTCCCTCATATTAGTTCCATGTTTTTTGCATCATAGCGCACCCAGCGGCCGTTTTTGGAACCCCTATAAACCTCTTTTGACGGTATAAATATTTGCATTTAAATTACTTTAAATTTTTTTTAAATGCTCATCCAAAGCTCCACATTCTTCCACAGTGCGGCGCAAATGCTTACTTACATATTTTTCATTTTTCGGATTGTTAACAATTTTTAGATTATCGATATATTTCTGGATGCTATTGTAATTAACAATAGGTGCGTTCGACAAGTCAAAAATTTGTAATAGTTTTTCCAAATTTTTACTGGATGGCGTTCGATAACGACAAAAAATTATCCGACACACAAAAATTTACAGAGCAAGCGTTCATTTTGATGCAAAAGAAGCGTTCATTTTTTACTGGCAAAATTTTAGTCAGCAAAAATTATCCAACACGAAAACATATGATCACAAAACATATGGTTGCAATTTCTGTAAACAAACAAAATTGCATTTTCCGAGTTTTGGTATTTTATGCTTTTTGGCTGCCTGCTATGTGACTTTATGATAGCGCCAACTAGTTTTTACTTCTAGAAATGTTCCTAGCGAACATTGAACGTTCACTTTCCTTTTTTCTTCTATGGAGGCAACATGAATTTCAGGTTGTTTACAAATAAAACATAAACAAAGTCAGCTGGTGTGTCTTCTTCTTCCGCTTTTTGCAAGTAATGGCTAATTTCCTGTTTGTTTACTTTTTTGCTTTTTCATCTCTTTGGGAGAGAATTTTCGCTTACTCTCTTGATTTTGATTGTTGGCTGGTGTTGGCTAATTTTGTTATCGAACGCAACTAATATACATACTATGGATGAATTCTACTACTGTGATGCTCTATCGCTTTCCTACAAGATATAAATATCGATATCACTTCCGTTATTATTATCGATTTTTTTATGCGGCATGCATTTCGATGTTGTTATCGGAAGGAAGTTGTAGCTTGCAACCCAATTGTAGTTCCAGCTCTATTTGCTGGCTGGGTAGCCATAGCTTATGTACATGCAAACTCACTTATAATCGTATATATTCGTAAAAATTTCTGTTGAACTGTAGCATGTGGGAGCATTGTTTTTCGTTTGTGGGTGTCTTGAATGCTGGTTATTCGTTGGCGGAAATGCAAATATAGAAAACTCAAAAGGTCAGTGGGTTGAATGGAATGCACAGAAAATGACGTCAACGCCACTTATTCACTTTATTAATTAAATAGCACACAAAAACTTAACACTTATGATGATTACAATGCAGGAACTATGTATTCCAAATAATAATTGGGACTTTCACATTTGGCTCAAGTTATTAATTACGCGAAATTTTAGTAACTCAAACCGACTTGTAATTGAATGCACTTAAATATTAAAGAAAAAAAAATTAATAAATAAAAGTGTGTGTTTGACTTACAATTTCTTATTTCACTGTCATTTCAGATGGTTTCTCAAGTTTCCGTCAAGCATTCCCCGAATGGTGTGAGGATGATAGCGCACAAAATAAAGAAATGGAATCTAGTCACAGCACACAGGCCGATCAACTGATGGGACTTAGGTTAGTTTTTCCTTGTTTTTATGCAAATCTTGCGCTCAAATTACTATTTGTTTAAATGGAAAACTGACATTTTATTGCGTTTTATTTTCACTTCGTTTGCAACACAGATCTTTGCGGATATCAACGCCACATTCAGATTCCGCCTGCAGTAGTTCCGCTGAATCTTCCGACTGTGAAAGTACAACACATCACAATATCAATGAGGCACCTGTGGAGATCATTCCAGGCTTATTTCTTGGCAATGAATCGCATAGTTGTGATTCTCGCGCATTACAAAAGTACAATATAAAGGTAAGAAATAGTGTGCATGCATTTTGCGATTGCAAGAAAAACTTAAATTTTTAGCTGCTAAAATGTATCAAGTATTTATAGATTTGTTTTATGGCTCTAAGTCTGCATTAGAAGTGCTTAAGGCCATACCAGATAAAACTTTTCCGCTTTAACGCAAAAGGTATACCACAAACAACGCCAAGGAAACCATTTTATACTGCTTGTTTGCTCCTTATAATTGGACCCACGTCCGGGAACGTTCTTGAACTAACTCTCTTTACGATTAATCGTACGAAAGTAGATAACTGGAGGGTGCTTGAGGCCCCGTCGTTCTCTGACCACAAATTAATACGTAAGCTTCGACATTTTGATCTATCCCAAAAGAAATAGTAGGATCCTCAGAATTCTTGAAACGCTGCAGGAAAATACTAGACGGTATGAAGGCTACGCCGCGCAGGTACAACACAAAGGTTGACATTGACGAAGGAGAAATAACACTAACATCGATCCTTATTAATGCTTGCAATGCATCCCGCTCTCTTTCGCACACTAAGCGTAGATCTAAACCTGCTTGGTGGAATAGGGAGCTAGCATCACGAAGACGCGATGTACTATAAAGCTCGGAATTGGCCAAGGTAGCCGATAATGCATTCTGCTTGGGGGAGTACAAAGACTTACTTATTTCATATAACAAAAAAAAAAACGGAAAGCAAAGAACAAATCCTGGAAGGACTTCTGTGAGAACTTAGAGGAAGCAAACGAGGTGGGCAGGTTTAGGAAACTTCTAACCAAGATTCCAAGCGCATCTAGCCCTATACGTTAGAGTTGCGGGGAATGGACCAATTCAAGCAAGAAGTCGCTAGAAGACTTGATCAAAACCCACTTTCCGGGAAGCATGGACTCGACAGACCTCGATAGTGGGGGAGGTATACTTAGTAGCATCCCGCTAAACGTCAGAACTTGTTCCAAAGTAAAATGGACAATCAACAGATTTAAGCCCTGCAAATCCCCGGGAGTAGACGGAATAATTCCAGTCTTGCTCCAGAAGGCTATCCACCTTATAATACCATAGCTGAATGCGATATTTTTGGACTGTTTGAGGCTGAGATATGTTACCGGAACATATCTGTGGAGGGAAGCAAGGGCTGTATTTATACCCTAGGCAGGCAAGAGCAACCTAGTTTTCTCTAAGAAATAAGGGCCCATAAGTCTGACCTCATTCTTCCTAAAAATATTCGAAAAAAAAAATTTTGACATTCACATCCGTGACATTCTGCCGCCAGGCATCTTGGCCAACACCCAACATGCGTACAATAAGGGAAAGATCACGGAGGCTGCGCTACACTCGTTAGTACAACACATCGAAAAGGCTCTAGAATGGCAATAATATGCCTTAAATAATGTCTCAAGTGAAGCTATTAGGAATAGCATTGAATCAAGAGGCGTAGAACCTGCCACAGGAAAATAAGTGCGGAGGAGAATGATGGTAGGGGAACCAGACGGGCGTGCAGCGGTACACCTCAAGGTGGCGTACTCTAACCACTATTGTAGCTACTAGCGGTCAACAAATTTCTAAAGGAGTTCGCGGGGAAAGCGCCCACACTAGTGGCATATGCAGATGACGTAGCCGTTGTAGTAACAGGGAAGTACGTAGACACTATCAGAAAAGTAATGAACAGCGCCCTTAGTTCTTTACAATAAAATATACGGTCCCAGTGTGGAGACCCCCGGGGCTAAGTAGCATTGAGCTGTAAATTAAAGATCAAAGCATTTGAGAGTAGTCTTGGACAGTACGCTGCTGTGGAAGCGCAACGTTGAGGTAATGGAGGAAATGGTGAAAAAGGCGAGTAACGTCCAGATGCATTGGTTCTACACAGAAATATTCAGACCAATACTGCTCTATGGCGCCTTAGTGTGGTGGAATGCCGCAACAAAGATCCCATACCTCGGGCTAATGGAGAAGGTTCAGGGAGAACTGATGTCCACTCTAACGGCTACTCTTGAAAAAAACCGCCCATTGACTTATTCTCAGGTAGATTGAGGGCCATAGGGGAACTAAATTTCAGAAACTTTGGGCACAGCTCAATTGGGGCGGGAAGCACTGTCAGCATGGACTACATGGCACCCAGATTTAAACGGGAACGAAGTCTTCGCACAACCATTGAGGAGGAGAGATGCCGCAAGGGAATAAGACCCTATACATTTTCATGGTAGACTATAAAATGGTAACTGGAGTGGGTGCCGGGGGGAAGTGAACCTCAGGCGGAAAGTAAAGTTGCCTGACATTGCAGCATATTTCAAGCAAAGGTTTTAGCAATGAAAACTTTTCGAGAACGCCCTATTTCAAGATTTGATTGAAAAATGCCCTATCTCAGCTGCCGATTCAAAAACGCCCTGTCTCAACATATTTTCTATATATACCAACATAGTATTTTAAGGACAGAAAGACCTAAGCGTACTGTTTTTAATTATTCATAGAAAATACCCATTTGCATCTCAACTATTCGAGTCCTACTGACTTTAAAGTTTTGAATTATGGAACTTTTTACCCTCTAGGGCTTTGGAGCGGAATTGTAGATCTAATCTTCCTATTTGTCAGATTTCTCAATTTCCCCATAGTTTAGGCGATATTATAGTACTTCACGAACTAAGAAATATCTTGATCTTTTGAATGGTAAAATTGTTTTCTTATAACCGCCATTTTCTTCGTCCTTTCCAGTATGTTTTAAACGTCACACCGGATCTTCCCAATGTCTTCGAGTCTTCAGGCGATATACAGTATTTACAAATTCCTATTACTGATCACTATTCCCAAGATCTGGCCATGCATTTTCCAGACGCCATACGATTTATAGGTAAGTAACTCCGACTTAAATTGACAAGGACTTGTAAAAACGAATTTTCTTCTTCGCCTTTTGCAGAGGAGGCACGCTCCAACAATGCCGCCGTGCTGGTGCACTGCCTAGCCGGCGTATCCCGCTCTGTTACAGTGACGCTCGCCTATCTAATGCAAACGCGCACACTCAGCCTGAATGACGCATTCACGTTAGTGCGCGATCGCAAGCCCGATGTGGCACCCAATTTCCATTTCATGGAGCAGTTGCATTCATTCGAGCGAAAACTGCGTCCGGCCAGTAATAGTGGTGAAGGCAGCAGCAGCGGCAGCGGTGACAATGAGTGTACAGCGATGGATGAGAGTGGCGGAGGCGGTAGTGGCAGCGGCATACCCTCTTGCACCGCCAACACGAGTTTGGCTAATACGCTAACAGCTGGACGTTGTGGCGGCGATTTAAGTTCGAAATTCACATGCAATTGCATTGCAACAGACTGTAAATGCATGCAGACGGGCGGCTATATGGCGCAACTGGCGAAAGCGGCAACCGGTGTGTCACCCGATTCGGGTATTGAATTCGATCGATGGACGCCGTCCAGCGATACGGGACTCAAATGAGATCAACTTGTGGGAAAAAGTTTCGTGCTGCCGCCGAGCATTGTGGAGCCGCCAGTGGCACACAACGCCGACAATGTGTCACCAGCTTCGACTACCTCCTCGTCCACATCGACGACAACAACGGCTGAGGCTGTGTCGGTGGTCGAGGTGGTGCCCAGCGCCGATGAGCGATAAATTGCGTATAAATGTGAATGGAGAGCAAGAGGTAGCGAGATTTGATGGTTGGTGGGCGGTTGGTTGGTTGGCGGCGTGTGTTTTACAGGCACGCGAAACTTTTTTCCTACAGGTTTGGTGTGGTGGTGACAAAGCAAACTACAACTACAAAGGTAGCACAACTGCGAACGAAATATGCGGTATAAGGAATATATCACAAAAGCAGCAACAAAACCAATATAACTTTTTTTTAAAATTTAAGTGAAAATAAAAGTGTCATTTGAAGTAGCTGTGACATAACAAATTTGTTGTTTGCTAAAACAATTTTATTTTTATGAAAATTAGGCTAAATATGGAATATCTTTTTGTATTTAAACTTAAAACTTATTTGCTTCCTTTTTGTATACAATTCATATGACTTCTAGGATGGAAAATTGTTTTAATATTTGCACGATTTTAATTAAGAAAAATTAATTAGGTTTTTGAAAAGTACGCGAAAAATTAATGCAAATTTATTAAAAATAAATGTTAAAAAGTTAAAAATACAAAACACAAGTGAAAACAAAGCAGGAAATTTAATACAAAAAACTCTGTACCAAAAGCAAAGCAAACAAATATGTATGAAAGGAACACCTTTTTTAATAAAATGTACTGCAACAAATCCCACAACCAACATACATATTACATACGTGCATATAAGCCAGTAATGTACAATACATGAATTATTCTAAGTTCTAATCAATATATGTATGTATGATTGTATTAAAAAAACAAGCTCTTAACTCTAGTTATTAAAAGCAGTTATTACGCAAACAAAGCATATACAAGCATACGTGTGAGTACATAGTTAATGCAATATAGTGCAACATTCAATTTAAATAAGGCACAAAAGCATACAGGCATACATATAAATTTGTATGTACACAAATATACATACTCATATGTACACACACCAATAATCATACATACCAACAAATATGTATTATTAGCACTCACATCTTTATGTAAAGTGAATTACTTATTTACATATTGTAAAATGTAATTTTTGTTTACTATGTATAATAGGGTGGTCTTTAAAATGCCAACATCCTGTGACACCCCTTTATTTTGTGGTATGTACGAAATTAAAACGGCCGCGAAAGAACAATTAAGATTAGCTGTCAGAGTATGAAAACATTTAAGTATGTATTTTAAATCGCAAAAATTCGACAAAATTTTCTCTTTGAGCAGCTCCAACTCAGCGATTTTATGAATTTATACGAATAAGTTTGAATAATATGACAAATTTATCAGATTTCAAATGCCCATTTTGTCAAATTTTTGCGAAGTAAAAAAATTAAAGCTTTTCAAACTCTGCTAGCGGCCTCTTAAGATTTGTTTAAAATTTTAAAATATTCGTAGATGCCTTTATTTTATTCTACGTACATGGGGGGACCCATACAAAGTTCAAATGCTGTTATTTTTAAGGACCACCCTAATTTATAAGCAGTTCAAACCGAATGCAATGAAGTCATGGCACAAGAAAAGATTGAAATAAACCATAGTTTTTACATTGATACATAAATTTAGTTCAATATGTAAGCAATGCTATGAACTAATTACTTATTAATTAATACATAGATAAAACGATTCAAATAAAAACCATTTATGTATATACATATTAAGTACTGTTGAGTAATAAAAAGTTCTTTTTGAAAGAAAATGCAAACTATTTGCCAAACTAATGTAACTGCAAAATTTGTTTGATTTTATTTGGTATGATTATTTCGCCTTTCTTTGGATTCTGTTCGTATGTTTTAATGAGTATTAGTTAGCTGTAGGTTTGTTTCTGTTAGATTTGTACATCTTGAAATGCAGGAAGAATTCAAACGTCTTATAGATATTGAGCATATTAGGAATATATGATTACATAATAACGGCCATAAAATAGTTTATCAAAAATGTATTAGTTTTGCTTCCATTGCAGTGAAATGCTTGTTACTGTCATGTGCGAACAAATAATGCATGTAACGGCGGAATCACAGTTCCCTTTATTTTTTTTTACTTCTAAGTGCCCTGAATTGGGCTGTCACAAGCTATAAACTGTTTATAGTAAACAGGGAACGGATGTTTAGGTCCTGAACAGAATTGCCGCGAAACATTTTTAGTGGTAGCCAAATTCCTTTAAAAAAAGGCCTAAAACAGAGTTGAAAAAGTCGTTGTGGCTAAAAATGGTAGCTAAAATTTTTTACTTACATATACATATATATTATATAAGTATACACGCAAACATTTTCAATAAGTCATGGTATAGAAAAACAATGAACTCTGTGAAAAAAGCTAATATTTTATCCAGCCAAAAACCTTTTTGTATAAAAGGGGAAATATACGACACCAGCTTGCGGGCTCCATCAAGTGATTGTACCATCAGGCTCGAAGCATATAATTTACCAGCATGCTGATACTATATTTATTTCTTTACAAATGAGGTGGAAATATCGAAGTGATTACAGCGGAAATATAATTTTTCTACCATTTTTTTAAACATTGTTTTTTTTTTACTCATATAGTGCAAGAAATGTCCCCAAAATAATTTTTACTTAGAAAATTGATCTAATACCACCACTCACGACACCAGCATGCTGGTACAATCACACCACAAGAACGTACATGGTCAATCGACTTGATGGGCCATTTAACAAATTAAGCATATTAAGGGCCGTAAACATATCTCTTTTAAACTATAGTTAAATTTGTTTGTAATATTAGCAACGGACTTTTTCGTGCTTATTCGTGCTTTTATGAAATTTTACTGAACGCCCATGCACGCACGAGTTCGTGCTGACAGTAAATATCCCGGCCCGTACCGTAAAAAAGGGCTAAGCGCAATTTTAAATTTATATGCCCAAAAAAAGTAAGTGTTAACTAAATCTATCCACCAAAGGGCTAAAACGGCAACACTGCTCCTGAATACCTTTAAAAAAAAAAAAAAACAAAATCGAAATAAAATAGCGAAGTAGGCAGACAATTGCACGAAATATCGTAAAAATGGTTAGAAAATATGGCACTAACAACAAACCTTAACTATTTTTGCCACACATGATGAACTCGATATACGCGCGAAATTAGAGCTGCAATATAATAAATATGCATTTTTAGTTTTTTTTTCACAGGACGCGTACTCTGTTATGACTCTGCTGGTATAATTTGTTTTTCCTGTACCCCAAAATTTGAAAAAAGCGGCCCCAATGTGGGACCTCTGAATTTTATTTCAAAGTTTTCTTCAAAGTTTTTTAAGGTTTCACAAAAATCGATTAACTCAACAAGGTATGGAACTATGGGCATCAAACGAAAGTGGACAGTGCAGATAATACTAAAAATTTTTTTCATAGTTACACTGTGGTAAAATACCGCCAAAATGGCCTTTAAAGTTTTCAGTCTTCATTAATTCAGGATATATAGGGGTCAAGTAACAGCGTGCCTTATAATTTTTTTTTTTTGTTTTTGTCACACATGTAAAAATCTGTATATGCGCGAAACTACAGGTCAAATATGCAAAATCTTCGTTTTTAGTTTTTTTCACAGAACGTCACAATTTTGTTTAAAGGACCTGAAAGTTTCAATAAGGATAGGGGTTTAAAGAGTTGGCGTATTCTTGTTTTGGTACGAATCGAAAATTTTAAATATTTGTATAAAATTTAAAAGAATATTTCGTGATATAATATGAAAATTTTTGTATTTTGATTAAGTCTCCAATTCAGTATTTTCTTCGCTCGAGTTTTAACCCATAAAGTCTTTCTCTCTATAGTTGTAGAAACATTGAACCAAAAGGTGAGTGTTGCAGTTTTCGGGACTTCTATTGGAAGCATTCAAACATTCAAGTTTTCAGAAATAAGAGTACTGTCCCCTGCGCTTCTGCACCTCATCCACAATATTTATATATTACTTACGCAGCTTTATTTTAAGTTTTTACTCTTTTTAATTTATTCTTAATACAAATTGAAAAAATTTACAAAAATTTATATAAGTTTTAATCACTTAATTAAAGTTAAAATTGGCAAATGTCAAAAAAATGCAACATTAAATGTGTAAAATTAAAATTAAAGAAGGGTGGTTATTATCAATCGATTGAGGCAACGTCCATAAAATCCGTTCCCTGAAAATATATAAATAATAGATTGTTTTCTTTTCTAATTTTCCTTCTGATTCAGCTTCTCTTATGCCGAATTTCTACTGGACATATGTAAAGAAATGACAAAGTTCGGCAACGAAAAATACCTGTTTTTAGAAATAGTCACTAAATTAATTTTTCAAAGAGCATACATACATATATATTTTGGGTGGGGTGACACAAGGAACATGGCCATAAAGTCATTTGGCATTGTGCCCACTTCACTGAACTAATATAAGGGTTTTTTGTTGTTTTCAAATACTTCAAGAAAAATATACATAGAGGTTTAGACTGCTTCTTAATAAAATTGTAAAAACTTTTCTTTTTCACTTACGCAAGGCATTTTTTTTTTTTAATTTTACATTTGCAAGCCGGAGTTGCGATAGGTCCTTCATACAACTTTGTTTGCAACGTTGCCATTCGCCGAAAATGCCATTTTTCGACGCTTTATGAATCGCACTAATATCAATATCGGCATTAGAAGTGGTAAATTCACACGAAACATCAAAAACACAGTGTGACCAGGTTAGCATTTTTTTCCTAGATTTTGCATTTAATTTTGCACCATAGCCCCTGAACTTAAATTATAGCTTCGTGACTTTTTTCTACACTCAGAAAAAAGTCAGCTAAATAAATTTGTCTCAACATGTGATTGGGTAATTATAACCAAATAATGTAAATATAACCAAATCATGTGTTGAGGAAAACATATTTAGTTGACGTAACTAAACTCTTTACTCAGTGTAGCCTTTTTAATTAAATTTTCATAATAAAATTCGAACCGAAACTTATAAAAAATATATGTATGTTCAATTCTTAATATTTCAAAAAGTGTAAATGGTAAACTACGTTCAAAAATTACAATGGCAATGAAAAGTGATATTTGATAACGATTTAAAAATGTATTTAAAAAAAATATTTTTCACTGAATGCGTCTTCTTCACCACTTATTTGTAGGTAGGAATATTAGCACGTTCTTTCAGCTTCATTCTTTATAGTACATATATAAGTATCTAACTTTATCTGACAATTTTTGAAAATAAATTCAACTTCAGTTTTTGGGATCACCTGGTCAAACTACTACGCCACTGCCACTGCAATTGTTTTATTTGTTTGGAAACATACAAAGAGATATTCTTTAAAAAGTTCTGCCTGAAAGCATTTACTTAGAAGCGCTTCTAATTTTGCCGACTGGGAACGAACCTTTAAAGTAATGAACAATTTCCAGCAGGCATTGCTATAACAGAAAAATGATATGTTTTAAAAATGCAGTGTAGAAACGAACTTAGTGATAAACGTAATGGCGCGACTTTGTCATAGAATTACCAGTGGAACTTCAGTATAAAAATTGCCTA